AGACGAAGTAGTAGAAAAGTACGAGGACGAGGGTGTGTGTGTGGGGGGAAAATAGGATCCTATATAAGAAAAAGACCCAAAAATCAGGACTGTCCCTATAAAATTGGGACATCTGGTCACCCTATTTGGCCACCCCCGCTCTAGATGTTAGTAAAGTAGCATCTCACTGAGTGGAAGCTTTTCCTATCAACCCTCTATCCCTAGGTCGTACAGCCAAGAGCAGCTTCCAATGTGTCCTGCCCACTAGAGGAAGCCTCCCTCAGGGTCACCTCTGCTTCAGAGCAGCTAGTCCTGGGCTGCAGTATTCAAAGATAGCTAGCTGTCTTGGATCCACACGTCCTGCCCTGACAATAGCGGCTGAGCATAGGATGCAAGTTTGTATTAGGCATCTGGAGTTTCAGACTAAAGCTTCAGGTAAAGCAAATTGGTGACAAACTAAACTAGTTACAATAGACTTCCTCTAGAGATGAGCTAACCTAGAAAGTGATGCTAAGACTGGAAAATTCTCTCTTTCTTCCCCCGCCTCCTTTCACAGTGGCTTTATTCCTTGCAGTCAAGGCATCAGGAAGCACACCTTGCTCTGAAGTGGCAGAGGCAGACCCAGGAACTAGGGGGAGACGGGACAGTTTAGAGTTTCAGAACGATCCGTGTGCCCCTCTCACACTCATATGGCCCCACTATCCTATCTGAACACCTCCCCCTCTAAGGGATTTACCCTCATAACACCCCTGCAATGCAGTGTACAAACCCCACACGGGGACAGAAGGGGTTAAAGGACTATACTGGGCCCAGCTAGCCTCGCCCCTCCAACCCTGCTCAACTGGAGACAGAGTTGAAAAGGGGCCCACCTGCCCAGCACCCAGCTCTGAGGGGGCAGGAATGCAGACCTACCCTGCAGGCTCCTGCCAAAGGGGATGGATTGTATGTTGAACCCAGCTGGGGCTCACTGTTTTGGGTCCTTTTTCCTTATTGGGACCAAAAGCACAGAGAGCAGTGCTGGGAAGCAACCCAGGAAGGGTAACACAGAAGGTCCATATTTCTCCCCCCCGGATCCCTTAGGGCCCAGACGAAGCACCACTATCTTCCTTTCAAGAAGGGATAGTACAAAGCAATAGACATTGTAATGCAAAAATAAATAAATGATGCTACTGTGACCAGACTTGTGCCTACGTGTCACAGATTAGACACAGGCCTTGGCTACACTTGCGGAGTCACAGCGCTGCCGTGGCGAGTGTAGTCACGCCACCAGCGCTGCAAGAGAGCTCCACCTCTCCGAGGGAATAGCTCGCAGCACTGCGAGCGAGCGTGCAGTGCTGCAGGCGCTGATCACACTGGCGCTTTACAGCGCTGCACTCAGGGGGTGTTTTTTCACACCCCTGAGCGCAGCGAGTGCAGCACTGTGAATTGCCAGCGTAGCCAAGGCCACAGAAGAGTTCACTAGTTACTCAGCAAGGAGCCCTGTGCAGATCAGGTTTGCTCCTCTTTCCTTCAGGCACTTTACCTGCTGTGCTGCTGCAAAAACCACCACATATCTCCATTCACAAGGGCTTTTATTCTCTTGTAAAGGTTAGGCACATTAAAAAAATACGACATGAGCACAAACAGCACAAATAAATTAATGGAAGTCAAAGAAGTCTGATTACCACTGATCATACACACTTCCAATCCATAATGACAAATGATTACTAGGGTAGGAGTCCTTGGTGCTATCAATGCAACACCTATGTGACTGGTGTTGCCATTAGTGATGAAGTTTGAAATGAAGCTGTGCTACAAGCCATGCTTCCTCGAGGGGGACATGAGCTAAGCACTGCAGTGCGGCAGGACGTGTCTTTCCTTGGAGCTCCAAGGAAAGACATTTCAGTATAACAGGCTTTTAACACTGGCTACAACAAGATTGGGCCTTACATGCCATCTGACTGCTACAGTGATGACTACGGAAAGGGTAAAGTTCAGGCCAATACCTGTCAAGGAATCTAAAGAAATCTGGAGTGACCAGTTTGCCACAGGGCAGGTATGGAGATTTCACACTAAGCCTCCTTCCACTGCTTGGGGAATTAGAGGCTACTTAAAAGCTTCTTCCCCACTTCTGTGGAGGAAGAGACGTGAAGGTACGTGTTGCATGTTTCCCATGAATGTGTATAAATCTAGGCTAAGAAAAATATTAAGTCTTACCAGAGCACAGGAGGAATGTTTAAGATTAAATTCTCCCTTAGTCCCCCTCAATGCCTGCAAGCATAAATCTGATGTTGAGAAATAAAGATCCTACCGAAAAAGGATTGTCCACGTCCCTTTCTCTAACTGTTACATCCCCTCCACATACACAACTAGAGCTCTGAGACACAGTGCCACATCAACTGTCGTTCCATTTGTGCTCCCCACTGAAAGCAGCAGAATGGTGTTACCATGCAAAGATCTGAGAAGAGAATGAAGGGTTTAGTTCAAGCCACACTAGCTCTGGTCATTTCCTCCTCTGGGCCCTCTGGAAAATGAAGCCCTTTGACAGCAGAAGTAAAGGTTTCCCCCCTGCCACCAAGCACCAGTACAGAACCGCACAGCAGAATTTAACACTAAGGGCTGATCTTTAGAATGGTCACTGTTCATGGACCAATTACCCTTTTAACAAAGAAACCCACAAAGAAAAACACTAGATGTGGAACTACTATAAACCGACATTGCAGAGCAGGGGAGCCACATGGTTATGTAAGGGAATCTTGATAGAGAACTTCAGTGAATGCTCCAGTTCTTGACAGGCTTGGCTGGAGGGTTTTGGTCTCTAGCACAAGACCACCAGCTGCTGGTGTTGTCTATATCCTACAGAGAAGCATGTTGTCCTTCTGGCAACTTGTCCAGGGCCCTGAGCTGAGGAGAAGTAGAAGCCTAGAACATAGCTGGGCAGGACAGCCCACTCAGCACAGCAAGATGCTCAGGAAGAGGTCTCCCAACAAGGTGTGATTTTCAGGTTTTAGAGCAGCACACATCTCCCAGTGGACTCTCTTGCTGTACAGAGAAATAGGACTGCAGCCGATACAGGTCGGTTTATATGGACTTGGTGCTATTACAGAAACTTTCTAAAAAAGCAGGAGATTCAGGCTGCACTACAGAAGTAGTGACGGTTGTTTTCCAGATCTTGTTTCTGTCTCCTCGGTGCTCTGACATGGAAGAAAGACAGACTTTCCTAGGTAACTGTGCAGGAGAGTGGGATGGGGAAGCATACCCGAAACCACCCTTTAATCCATTATGAAGACACCAAGAGCATCCTTCCTTGGAGGCAACGATATTCCTAGAATCCCGTGGGAGTGAGCACATTCATATCCCGGGGTTTGAGGTTATGGGACCGTGCCGACTGTTTCTTCCCCTCCATAACAGGAATGTCCATCTTGGGTGGTTTGAAGGTAGCTGGGTCCTCTGCCATCCTGGTGGCCTGGGCACGGATCAGCTCCATTGGGGATGGCTTCTGGGCACCCTTATAGGACTGGACGGTAAAGGCCCCTGAGGGAAGAAGTTGTTACAGCAGATAAGAAACAGGAAAGTCAAATATTGAACAGTTCATTCAGGTTTTACAGAACATTCACACATCAAGGTCCGCAACATCAGGAAGTGGCTCTTAAAACTGAGGGTTAAGGTCTTGCCTTGATGTATGTAAGGCACACACAGAAGCATCATTGCACATTGTTTTCCCTCCCAGCTCCCCTGGAGTGTAGCTAGTGCCCTCCAGTGCATGTTCCTCAAAGATCCATGCAGAAGTGTCCCCTGGGACCGTCACACCCACAGATAGCGTCTTGCTGGTATGCAAAGGCAGAGATGGTATAATTTCATAACTAGCTGCGGACAGGTGTGGTGCCATATATTTGACAGTCTGCCTTCCACGCAGCTCTGCAGCCCTTAAGCACATCAGGGAGAGGCTGCAGGTTACTAAAGAGAACAGTGGCCACCTGCCATTTGGCTGTGTCCACTGGCACATGCACAAGATGCTCGAGTTTTAGACACTGAGAAAAGGCCTGGGCAGCACCAGATGCAGTTACAAATAAAGGCTGCGAGGCTGTCACATAACACAGCCGCGTTTGTATGGAAAGCTGTGTATGGCCACTTTGTGCTAGTTTTCACTGACTAGTTAGAGTTTAGGGGTAGTGACAGCATCACTGGTGCACAGTTCACATGGATGACTTGTAACCACTCTCTGAATTAAGTGTTTGCACTGTCATCTCCCGCTACCTATGGCAGCTTTTGAGAAGGGTTCTCCTCCTAGAGGGCACATACCTGGGTCATTAGTGGATTTCTGGACAGCTCTGGGTCCAAAAAGGCTCCATTTTTCAGAGGATATTCTGTCTCTATCCCCACCATCAGAATCCCTGGAGACCAAGTCTGAGCCAGTGATAGAACTGGAGGGTCCCTGACTAAACCAACCCCTGGAGGAAAAGAATCATTTGGAGTATGTAACAACTGGAAGGAGAAACGTGAGTTTAGTTTTTGGCACCATAGGACCACCAGAAGCATCCATTCCCAAAGCAAGCATGAATAGGCCTTTTGCTTTAAAGCCATTTCCCTACATCCATGGACATGTATGTGTCTGCCCACCCCCAGTAGAAAGAATTTGCACCCACAAGGAGTTCTAGAAGCTCTCATACTAATCTAGTCCATCTGAACATTCAGAACTGAATATTTCTACAGAGAATCCAGGGGAGGCTCTGAACTCCACCCCTTCAATAAGATATTTGAGTTCTCCAGTGCTGGGCAGGAAAGTTCTCTGTTGCAACTCTGACTTTAAGTGGCCTTAAGGAAACCAACTCCTGGGAGGCAAGGAACTGCCCTGTGTGGAATTGTACCTGTGTTTCTGTTGGGGAGAAGAGTGGGGGGTGGTGTTTGGAGTGGATTGAGTGGAAGATGTCTGTTTGTCTTCTTTGGCCATCTCTCCACTTTGCATCTTTAACTTCTGTTAGAAAGGGCAAGAGGAAAACAATCAATATAAACCTTTCAACAAGAGGGTTAAGAGTAAAGAATAGCCAGTTTCAGCATAAGCATGCCACTTCCCCTTTAATTGATGGACAAGTATACCAGGAGTTACAACTTGGTGTGTTACAAGGTCTGCATGCAAGAGTGCCTATTAGAGTGTATTCAACACAGTAAGAGCTCCCCATTTCAGACGGTCATAGTTTAGCTACCAGAGTATTTCTGGAATAAGGTCTTGAGTTATCTACTCCAGCCTAAAGGCAGCCAGTGGTAACAGTTCAAAGTCATACACGCTTTAGATTCACACTACCCTCTGTTAGTATCTTGACGGGCATTTACAAGGAAGAGGTAGTCTGAATCTGCAGTGAAGCTAGTTTATCCAGAGAACTATTAACATCGGTATCCTTGCAATATTCACTAATAGCACGGTCATGGCTAGGTGCCACAAGACCCACCGGCCTCACGCATTTAACTCATCTATCTAGTTACTACCTCTAAATGGGTTCTCATTGTTTAATATTTGTAAGCCATGTCAGCATTAGGGTTTTAAATGCTTTCCTGCCTATGCAAACAGGAGACATGTCAGTGACCCAGTATACACCAACCAGATTATTTCAAGTTCTTCCAGACAGCACAAAGCGATCGTGGAGGGCAGTCATGGTTTGAAGAGGGATTCAGGAATTTTCCCCCTCATCGGATTCTATGACATCTTGGATTTGCCGTGGCAGCAAACATCTTTATTTGTAAGCTGAGCAGGTTTTATATGGAAATGGAAAATGAGATCACAGGGGTGGTTTTTGTTTTTTTGTTTTTTTGAAGAGTCACTTCTCAGAGAAAAGCTGCACTCACATCTATTGTATTCTTGACTTCTGGTGTAATGAAGTTTGATAGTTCAGTCTAACAGTCAGACACTGAAGCCAAGACTACAGGAGAGGAATAAATTCAGTGCTTTGTAAGAGAAGTAGAAATGCATTCAGACCAGAATGGCGACACAGCTATGTAAGCTTCATCTGCCAAGCTCTGCATCACTGAAGCAGAATATGACATTCCAAGTTAGTTCTCCTTCATAATTACTATCAATCACTACAGACCTCTATAATCCTACATTGGGGAGGGGAGTATTTTCTACTCTACTTGCCCATGATATCTGAAGAAAAATATTACAGGAGAAGTTCAAGATTACTAAAGTGAACTGCTGCAGGAAGGAGTTGTGTAGAAGTCTTACGAGTTCTGCAAATCATGCACTTCAGCTGATGAAAATGCTCATCTTTTGCACGTTTCAACATTAACAAGCATCTCAGTAATTTAAAAAGCCAATAATCTGTTCCCTTACAAAGTAGAGACTGCCTAGGGGAATGGAGCCTGCTGGCTTCTTTTCTGGAGGGGACAGGGAAACAAGTAACCGAGTAGTTAGAACAGCTATGTGTTTGCAGAATGAGAGAGGCAGGTAGTGGAGCAGCCCTGAGTTACTGCTCCTTTAAGGGGAAGGGGAGCTGAAGACAGTTGGTCTCTTACATGCCCTGGAGAGCAACAGAAATGGAGGTAGCAGAGGAGTCTGCACAAAGACAGGAAGCAGAAATGAGTTATTTGGGAAGGCCAGAATTGGCAATCGTATTCACACCCTGAAGCTTTATTCATGTATTTTAAGAAGTATTAATATCCTTTTGAACACATGCTGTGCCAATGGCAGGACGGCATGTCCAGCCTCAGAGAGGTCCACTAGCCACAGAGATTCACAAATTTATCTTCAGGGTGGATTCCCCCCCACTGAAAAGAAGGATTCACAATTGATTGTGATTTGAGTGATACTGTAACAGACAGTCACATCTATTTACATGCTAAAGACTCACCTACTAGAATCTGAGAGTTAAATTTTGGGGAAGCCACAGATTGTCCCTAGTCATTGCAAAGCTAGTGAAATGCATGACTATGAAACAAAGCCGAGACAGGCTATTTAAATAGAAAAATCCGGCCATTGTTACCAATACAGAGTTGTACTGACAGCTACGAACAGTGAGAGTAAGCCCCAAAACAGTTCCATGAGCCCTTCCCGAACTCTCCGGGCTATTTGAGTCCCTCAGAGGCAGAGGTAAAGCAGAACACAAAACTACAAGAAAGCCAAAGCAGAGTAGGAGACAAATGTCTTACATGGAGTGCCTCAGCCACACGGTGGTACTTTGTCTCCTCAGCAGTGAGGCCCTTGTGGGGAGTGTATCCAGCATCTCTCAGCCCTGCCTGCTGTTCAAAGCGCTGAATGCTCTCCTGAGTCTGCTCTAGAATAGACAAGATGAGACATTCACACAAACCAGAGGAAAACACTGCTGCCTGCATGCAGTTCTGGGAAACGCAACAGCAGCACGAGAAATTGAGAAATGGGGTTTCCATTATCCAGAATTTAGCATTGTGATGAGTCAGCACAGAGATCAAATGCGACAAACAGATTAGAGGGATACAATTTCTAATTCAACAGATCAGACAGACATGTTAGTCATTGGGGTTCTTAGTAAACAGAACAACTCGGAACTCTGCAGTAAGACTGCTCCCAAAATCACAGGGCTGGTCACAAGCACATCTCAGCCAGAAGGGTGAAAGCGTGTTGCTCCTGAATTCGAATATTTCTAAAACTCCAGGTAGTTAAGATAACCACTTAGAATAATCCCAGTGCATCCAAACTCCATATACACAAGTATTGCTGCCAGTTCTTTACTTCAGACTCAGGTTCTGAACAGCTAATGCAGCAGTCTCTCAGAAAAGTTTGTCAAAAATGTTAGTGGTTTTTGAAGGTTTGAATTCTTATTTATAACTACTGGTAAAGTCTTATGTGATGGAAAACCTGTGTTTTGAGACCTAGCTGGTTTCCTACAGAATGCTCGTCCATCATTAAAGCAGTACAGAAGCTACACTTCAGCTAGAACTAGGTTCCCTCACTGCTGACTTTTTTGTACGACTTGCTTTTAGCAAGATGCTCAGGTCTGCCAGCCTTCTATAAAAGAGCTTCAAAGACAACTACAACATGCTCTGTGTGAGCTTCCAGAACACTCGGCTAAGACAAACCCAACAGAGCTAGAAGCACTGCTTGAACATTAAAGTTTGAGCTTTAGGTAGCCAGGGAGCAATAAAGTAAGATCCAGTGACAAAGTTACATCCTAGTGGTTAGCATCTACCCATAAGGAACAAGCAGATCTTGCTGCACTACAGACCCACTCATTCTAAAGCCTTATTGTTAACAGCACAAAGTTCTTGTAATGTTCAGGACAGCTACACTGCTGACAACGAACACATCAAGCCAATGAGTTATACTTAAGTACTCTATTAGCTTGATGGGTCAATCGTCCCCTTCGCTCTGGTCCAATTTAAAAATCGCACTTACTGGTTAAACAGAATGAGCTAATAAGCAAACAAGTGACAGCTGGCAGCACCTGCTCTCATGATCCTTGTAACAAAAATAAGACTATTTATAAAACACTGCAGCAGACATTAATTGTAAAAAGCCAATTTCGCCACACCTCCATCACCAACCCAGTTCCAACATTAGAAAAAGTTTACAGAGTTTCAGATTTATTCATCCAGCACTTGATTTAGGGCAGCATTTCCTGTATTAATGCACCTGCAAAGCTTGTGAGGCCCCCTCAAGTGCACGAAAATTGTTTTATCCTACACAAATTCCATAGTTAGGTCTATATGGTTTTGAGGCTGGCTGAAGAATTAGGCCATGAAATCTGGTCACATGGACTGTAGCCTTGCACGTGATCTCAGCACATACCCCACTCCCATATCTATTAAACAGCCTATTACAAATCCATCAGAGTTCTTACTTGTAATGAGAGAATTCATGATGATATGAGTGGCCTTGGCCTTCACAACTGGGACCTTGTTCACACTTTCAGTGGACGATGAGGGGATTATGACAGGTGGATACATGCTAGTCTCCCCTTCCTCAACCTGTGCAGAGGAAGTGGGGTACAGTTTAAGACAAAGGGGAGAAAGTTACCTCTTGAGCATTACACCCCTTCCCTGAATTCTCATCACAACAGGGCTTTAACCAACACAACCAGTCAAGCAAAAACGTCAACTTGTGTTGTTTAAGAGTTAAGACCAATCATAACTGGCACTTCAATGTTCTTAAGGAAATGGACATTTTAGTGTCCTTCCATGATAGGACATTCCTGTTATCTATTGACAACAGGCATTCATTCTTACATGGATTTGGAAAGCACTGGGCTCACAGCCAGAAGGTTGTTAGTCTGAATGGTAAAGGTCACTGGGGAGGAAACCAGAACCAACGACTTCTCTTTCCACTCTGGGCCCAATCTGACCAAACCATGTGGCAGGTCTTTCTCCATGAAAGGAGATTCTTTGATAGACGGCACTAAAGTTGCTAGCCAGCATCCTGGTTAGAGAGATCAGACCCACATACAAGTCATGGAGCTCAAAGTTCAATATTATTACTCTAGGCCCTACTCCAATACTTCATACTGGTTTTAAGACATTCTAAACTTAATCAAGTGGCTTAAACCCAAAGTTTTGCCATTCTTAACTAGACTCTGGGGATTGTGTCTGCTGGATTCTAATGTGTTACTTTATAAAGTGAGAGCACCTTTGGAACTGACAAACTCCTCGTGCCGCTTGACCAGAGGGTACTACTCTTCCCAGCGCTGGGCACTGCTTCTTTACAGCATGCTCCAACCTAAGACTTATCTTCACAAGGAAGTTCCACTGGTAGAATAAAAACCAGTTTAAGCCGATTCAAAGGACTGCATGGACACGTATTTCAGTACAAGTGTGACTTGCTTCAGTGTAATTAAACCTGATCCTAATCGAGCTAGCTAACCAAATAAGCTGCTCTGATACCCAAAGAGCAGCCACATGCCTTTTGCACTGATTTAACTGTATCCGTTTAAATTCGCACCTTAACACCCACACAAGTTTCTCGTTTAGACAAGCTCTTGGAGAATGGTGACCATAGAATAAACAGACATTATGCATTTGCTTAAGTGGGCAGAATCACAGAGGACATACTCATACTCTTCAGAGGTTGCAGGTTGCCTTAAAAACATGTAAGCTATTGGAGTTATGCCTGTGTTTCTTTCTGATGAAAGAAAGCCTGAAAAAGTTATTTCCCTACCAGCACCCAAAGAAAAGGAGTGGGGGGGCAGGAATGTCAGCTCTGGCTTTGCTGGAAGTTTCAGAAGATATGTATTGAGTTTAAGGGGGAGGCTTGTTGAAGTTGACATTTTAGAGAAAGGAGGTCTGTGTTAGTCCTTAGTGTTAAGTCAGTGTTGGCCAAAATTCTGCATAGCACTCTGACTAAAGGTCCCTCCTTCTCAATTGGTTAGCTTTCACTCTTGTGATATTTATCTACCCCTCCAGTCAGACTCAAGCTGCACAAGAACTACATTTCTAATATCAATCAGGAAATTGTCCTTGATCAACACACTCCCAGTTTTGATCCACCTCTGCAGGTCAAATTAAAGTAGTAGTCTCTTGCTTAATCCAGAAAAATTCCTGGTTTTTCATCCAATTAGAATCCAGCAGATACCTCCCTGCCATCTCCTCACCCATTCTAGAGTGCCTACCTTTGAAAGCTCCTGGTACTTGCGCTCTGGGATGACCGGTTGTTTCCACAGGACATTGGAGCACATATCTGAAGGAGGAGGAGTCATCGGTGCTGTATCCTCCAGGGCATCATCATAACTGAATGCCCGACGATGCATTCCAATAGGCAGGGACATCTTTCCTAGAAGCCCTCCAGAGCCATGCTCAATAGCTAAGAACAAAGATGGCAGCTTTCACAGTGGGATGCATCTTGGACACATCAAACTGGATTATCTCTGTACTGGTTAAGAACACCGATTCTTTAAAATCTATTAAGACCCCTTCGTAAGAAACACTAGTCAGAATTATGCAGCCTTTGCAAAATTCTAGGAGCGGTTTTGTTTTACTAGATTCACTCCAACTATCAGCTTAGATGGGACACTTTAATCAAAGTAAGTTACCATAACTACTGCTTCACATCTGTCAGTCACAGTTAACAGCAGTACTTCAAGCAACATCACTCTAAGTAGCAATCTGTTAAGCAGTTGCATATATTGTGGATTAAAATGCAAAGTTCACCAATGACTAAAGAAAATCTGTGTGGTAAGACTGCCATTGAACAGGAGCACTGAGTCCGATTTGGGAGAAAAAGCAGCGCAATTTTCTAAACAATGCAGGAGTTGAGAGATTAAAGACTGACAACTTTGTATATGGCTAAACCAGTAATAGTTCTAACGTGGTCCTACAGTTAGGAGCTTATTTGTGCAATCCAACAGCACTGTTGAAATTCAGAATTTGAATTTATTTACATGTTTTGGAAGGTTGTTCTACCAAAAAAGAGTTTGCAAGTAGCATGCATTCTTACAAGACCCAGTTATGTGATCAGGTAAATTAGTGCCAAACAATCAAGCAGCTTTTTCAGACCCTCAGGTGAAGAGAAAACATGCAACACTTTGTCAGGTCTCAATAAATCTACTCACAAGTTTTCCCTAATTAAACAGGGTGCGGGGGAGGAACATTAACATCAGTCTCTGGATGGCTTTAAGGGATAGGGCCCCTAGCAGGGTCTATGGAAAGCACTGAATACAAGTTCTAGCAGCTGTGGGGTGAGAAGGAGGCTGCACCAGACCTAGATACCCCAGCGTGGAGAGCACACAAGGCACATACTAGGGAGGGCATCACTCCTGAACACCTCCCCACTCCATCTTTCATACCCTCTTCTGCATAGCAGGAGCCTGACAAATTCTCTAGACTTTGCAAATTAACTGTCCAGTCATATTAACAGCAGCCAACTCTGACAAAAGCAGTCATGTGACTGTCTATTAGTAGTAAAAAGAACAGGAGTACTTGTGGCACCTTAGAGACTAACAAATTTAGTCTCTAAGGTGCCACAAGTAAGCCTGTTCTTTTTGCGGATACAGACTAACACGGCTGCTACTCTGAAATCTATCAGTAGTGTCATGGCTGAGGCAGTCACTAACTAGAATAGTTTAAATCAGTGGTTCTCAACCCACAGCTGCAGCCCAAACGACATCCTCAGGGCCACACAGGTAGTATAGACATTGTGTGGCTGTGGCCCACATAACACAGAGTTGCATATGCAGCCCACACTAGTAAATAGGTTGAGAACCACTGTTTTAGACCCCAAGGTCTTCAGGATACAGTCTTTCAAATGTGTTTGTAGGCCCTGATACAATATAAATAATTCACTGGCAGGAGCACAGATACAGTGGCACTATTTAAAAGCTGACACACTAGCATCAAATAAAAACAACAAGGAGTCTGGTGGCACCTTAAAGACTGGCTATACACCTGATCCAGACTAGAGGCCTAAATAAAACCAGGTCTTCTCACAATTAACAATCACATAGGTGATTGGACTAAAATTTACTGGAAAGAATTAGTTTTACCAGGAATATCTGGTTGTCTTGAAGCCATGACTGTAATCCAGATGTTTCTCTATATGGAAATCCAGAACTGATTCCCGTTACCTGATAAAATAATAGAGAATGTTTTTATCTGCAAAAGACACTAAGACTACAGTAAATAGGAGCCAAGAGAAGCTTAGGAAACACTAACTCGAAGGACAGGTCAACACTGTATTTGTAGACCACGGGGTGACAAAGGATCTGGTCTAGAATATTCCACTCAGGAAGCAACCCTGAAGCGAGACGCGTGACCAGCACCGTGCTTACAGCCAGCTGTCCACACTTCAAGCCGAGAGGAGCCGCACACAAGGAGAAGAAGCCAGGACAGCCACCTTACCGCAGCCGCGCCCAGGGAAGCGAAGCGGGCAGAGCGACCCCAAAAGGCACCTGCCCCGCTGAGGCTGAAGCTAGGGACCCGCCCGAGGAAGAGCCCAGAGCCTCTGCGGGGCACAGCTCAGCAGCGAGGCCGCCTTGGCTAGCTACAGCCAGAGCAGCTCGCCCACCGCTCCCCGGCCCGCCCCGCAGCCCACGCGTGACCGGCCGCGGCCCACGGCGCGGCCACAGCCCCCGGGTCTGCGCGTGGCCGGGCCCGGCCTCGGGCACCTGAGCGCAGCACTGCCCCCCCCAGCCC